CATGAGGCCTTTCTCCTGGGCTTGCAGGCGACCACCCTCTCGCTGTGTCCTCAAATGGTCTCTGTACACAGGCACCCTTGAGATGTCCTTATGTGCCCAAAACTTCTTTCTTCAAAAGAACATCAAGCAGACTGGATTAGGGCCCACATGCTGGCTTAATTTTAATTTCATCCTCTTTTTAAAGGCCCTGTTTCCAAATAGTCACATTTGAGATTATGGAGGTAAGAGCTTCAACATGTGAACTTTGCAGGAACATGATTTAGCCCATAACACACTCCTAGACTTGTCTTCACCAATTAGATATCTTTTTAAAAATGTATTTATTTATTGTGAGAGGGCACGGGTGCTCAGTAGAGAGAGAGGGAGAAACCCCCTCATGGCGTTTAGTCACACCGCAGTTCCTTCTCCTCCATTTCTTCATCCTGTCAGAATTTGGGGCACACACATGCTCATGCCCAGGATGTTCTTCAAGTCACAGGGACTGGGATTCAAACCGCCAGTGGCCATGTGGGATTCAGCTGTTTTAACCACTAGCTACAGAACTAGCCTTATCTTTCCAGCTCTCTCTCTGCTACCAATAATCCTTCAACAGCACAGAGACACGCGATTTACAAAACGAACATCTCTTTTTCTTTCACTGCTGCTGGCACTCCCACTTGTCCTTACTTTTCTCCTCATTTAGCTTAAATTCCACAGTCCATTGAGACAACCACTCTCCGGTGTGCATCTCGGTTCCTGTGCCCATCTCTCTATTCACGGTACTCACCCTGGTTGCTTCCAGCGTTCCTCCTGTCCTCCGCAGCTGACCTTCCCAGGGAAAACAGCCAAGCCTGCTGCCATCGCACTGCAAGACCACAGACTCGGGTAGGCCCCTGTGCTTGCACACTTCTTTAGTCCGTTCACTCTCCTATTTTCTAGGCACCTATCTGAATGTGTCCTCTCTCTCTCTCTCTCTCAACCTTCTACATCCTCTCCCATCCTTGTTCTTGGCTGATAAACTTGCTCCCTGTTTCACTGAGAAAACAGAAGCCATCTGAAGTCCCCACTATTCACTACAAGGCCCATATGCTCTGTCTCTTGCTAAGATGGACCTGCCCCTGTTGCCCAAAGGCCAGCCCTTCTGCCTGTGCGCGTGACCTCACCCCTTCTCACCTATTCAAGGACACCGCTCTAAAGTTCTCGCCTTTCTCTCCTGCATTGTCAATCCCTACATGCCCTCCCCGTCCGAATGACAGTATAGAGACATGCTATAATTTTCCCCACTAAATATGTTCCCCTTGACTCTCATTTTCCCACCGGCTACTGCCCTGTCTCTCTGTTCTCCTTACATCAAATCTCTCCAGAAGAGTTACCTCTTCTATTTTCACTTCCTCTCCTCCCATTCTCTCATGAACACCCTCCAGCTTAGCTCTCGTTTCTGGCCACCATGCAAGTTCTTCTTACCAAGGCTGCTAAATCTCATAGCCAATTTTCCATCCTCCCATGCCACTTATCCTGTTGGTGACATTTAACTGAGTTGTTCCCTCCTCCCTCCTAGAAACTGAGGTTCCAGAATGAGCTCCTGGTTTTTCTTCTTAATCACTGGTTACTTCTCAGTCTCCTTTGCTGGCTTTCTCTTATTACCTCAAACTCAGTTCTGGAATACCGAGGACTTAGACCTTGGGCCTCATTTCTGTCAAAATTCACTCTCTTAGTAAGTGATGGATTTAAACACCAATTATATACTGATGACTATCATATTTATACCCTGCCCCAGACCTCTTCCTCAAACTTCACGTTGGCGTTAATATATCCAACTCCCTAACTGGCCTCTCCATGTGGGTTTCTAAAAGGTGTCTCAGAAGTTAGCATCTCCAAACTGACCATGTCTTCTCCCCAGTCCCAGACCTGCTCATCTGGCTGTCTTTCTTATTTCAGGTCATAGTTGATTCTTGCATTGCTCAGACCCTCTGTATTCACAGGTTGAGTCCACAGTTCTGCATTCATGGACTCAACTAACCACAGATCAAAAATACATGTATGTTTTAATTTGTGCATCTGTTCTAAACCAGTAGAGACCTTTTTCTGCCATTATTTCCTAAACAATGCCGTATAACACCTATTTACATAGCGTTTATATTGTAGGTGTCATATACATAATCTAAAGATGACTTAGGGTACGTAGGAGAATGTCTGTAGGTTATATGCAAATGCTTCAGCATCTTATATGAGACATGCGTCTCTGTGGCTTTTGTTATCCACAGAGGGTCCTGGAACCAATCCTCACTGATACCAAGGGATGAGCACTGTGATCTTTCATGCCTCTTTTCTCTGACACCCACGTCCAACCTGTCATCAACTCCTGTTGACTCTACCTTCAAATCCAGCCTGGTCTCACCATCTCTGCTGCTAGCATCATGCTCCAAATCACCATCATCTCTACTCAGGATCGTTAAAATGGCTTCAGAACACATCTCCTTTTTTCACCCATGCCCTTTACCACCTCTTCGCCACTCAGCCGTCATAGTGAGCTTTTAAAAACATCGAGTAATGTTCCTGCTCGGAATTAATCTTTGTTATTACTGCTCTCTCCCCTCACCTGACTGCGGCCACAGTGCTCTCCTTGCCGTTGCTCATTTCTGCATCAGGACTTTGGCACACTTGCTGATCTCTCTGCCTGCAATGCTACTCCCCAATTCCCTACGTGGTCCCCGCACTCCACCCCCTTCAGGGCTTTGCTCACATGTCACCTTTTCATGGAGGTCTTCCCTGACCACCCTGTTTGAAGTCACATCTACCCTTAGATGCCCTTCCCTGGTGGATTTCAGCCAATTTGTCATCGCCAGAAATGCTATGTATTGCTGGTCTCCCCTACGGTGGAAGATGGCTGCATGAGGTCAGGGATTTGGGCTCTTTGGTTCACAGATCTGTTTCTTCCTTGTTCAGAAAGTGGTCCCTGGTTTAGAGGAGGCAGTCAATAAATATTCAGCCCAAATGTTGTTTCTCTTCCCAATCATCCCAAGAACTCTAGTAAATGTGATTTTAGGCTGCTTCTATGTCACTGGGGAAAAGAACAATTTGTGTTGATCCACAAGAGAAAAAAATCCCAACCACAAGGGGGCACCAAGAACCTCTTTGGAACCTGACACCTCTAAGACTTAGTTTTTAGTTTTGTTTTGTTTGAATCCAAAAGGGGCTCCAAGTACCTCAATTTTCTAATAATTGTAATGTAATTTTAACATTATTTGTATAAAATAATGTTTATCCTCTTGTCCTCTTGAATTAGAAATATAGAGGACCAGCAGTTAATGTAATGGCTATGTTGCTGGACTCCCAAATAGGCGACCATAGTTTGAGTCCTGGACCTGGCGGCTTAAATTTACGCTGGGTGCATGTGTGTGTGTGTCCAAGATCCCAAGAGGAGAATGGAGGAGAAGGTATTGTGGCGTGGCCATTCCCCCCTGGGGGGTGATTTCTCGCTTTCTGTCTATATATATATATACACACACATACATATACATACATATACATACATATATATATTCATACATATATATACATGTGTATATATATATTCATATATATGTGTATATATATGAACATTATAGTTTCAGAAAGAAATAACATTAAATGTAAGTACTTCTGGCATCTAGATTTTAAGACTTCATAATACAGAACTCTTTAGGTACAAAAGGAGTAAGTAAGCAGACTTCTGCTGCCTGAAATATTTTGACAATGTCTGACAATCGAGTATTTTGATACCTTCCATTTTTATTATTAATGATGACCCTGGTTATTACTGAACTGTCTCTGTGCACCTGACACTTTTACACACATAATCTTGTTTAATTATCATAGTTCTCTGAAACCGGTATTTTAAAAAAATCATTATTTCACAGATGAGAAAGTTGAGACTTAAAATGTTAAGTCAAGCAGGGCCCCAGGGATTCGAGCAGAAAGGAGTGGAAATGAGGTCAAGCAGCCCTTGAAGTCTTTGCCACTGTTGTCTACATTGTTTTTACACGTTAGCACCAAGATCCCTTCCCATAATCCTTTTCTTGAAGCATCATAATTAGAGGATATCTGGGGCCCTTTAATTTAAGACAACGATTTAGAAGGGAGAATATCTAAATATTTGCATTAAACTCATTGCTCATACAGTCTGAATCAAATTACCCACATTTTTAAAAAATAACTTTTCAAGTTTTTAAAAATATTTCTTCCACTAATGAGAAAGAGAGAGAGAGATAGCACCCCTAACAGGGTCTCAGTGGCAAGATCTATGCCCAGCCTCAGTGAGCCCCAGATCAGAAACAGAGCACACGTGTGCCTGGTGTATTTGGGGAGGTCTCCGGATGAGAACCCAGAACCTTCCCATGTAGGTCAGCCTCACAGAGCATCAGGTTTTACCCCTGTACCACCATCCGGCCCCCTCCCCACATTCTTTTACCTCCCATCCCTTAAGAGTAAGAAAGATCTGCATTCATGTTTGTTATTATTTTTCAGAGAAGTAGAAATTGTAGGTAGGACATTTAGAAGAAAAATAGGGAGGCAAACCATTAATGGGACAAAGAAATGTGGTATTATCTGTTAAAGATAGAAATGGTCACCTATTGAAATATTCATTTTGTAAGCTAAATAATGGGATTGCATGTATAAAAGAAAATGAAATTTAAAAATGTAAAAAAAAAAAAGAAATTGTGGGTATGAAATTTTGTGGGGAAAACACAAGCTGCACCCATCTTGTAAGAACTGACTCATCAGCTGGGACGTCTTGTTTCCCTCCCTCGCCAATTTTTTTATGAGCCCTTTTTTTTATGTCCCCCTTGCAGTTTAAAGCATACACAGTGACTAGGGAGCATGCAGAAAAGAATCCAAGAGAACCATAGGTCTGTAAAGAGGCACAAAGTCAGGGTACTTTAGCAAACACAGTGTGCTCTTTAACCCTCTGTCTACTGTTGAACGACACTTGCCAGACTCAGTTCCAGCCCCCACCCTGACTTCCTTCTTAAAACACGCTCAGGGTTAAGTCTTCAGTGCTTTAATCCAGAGGAAAATGACTTATTTTAAAAAGCAGTGAAAAACACCGCATTCCTCTGGCACAGGATGAAGACCAGCTCAGCTCTTTAGCCGTGGATCATTGTCTATTGTTCTCCAAATAGTAAACCGCTATTTCACACCACGATTGTCTGCTGCAGTTACACTCTGAGTTCCTGGTTCTTCATGAATATGAAGTGAAGGACTCTGACCCAGAAAGTGGTAGATAATCCCACGGGGGTAGGGGGGGAAAGAAAGAAAGGACAGGTAGAAAAAACAAACAGACTTTATGGGATTCTCTACTCTGGAAATTTCCTGTGGATTCTAAGCAAGGCAAAATGGGGTCTCGGAAGTATGGAGGCTGCCTAAGTTTTCTGCTGATTCCGCTTGCACTTTGGAGTATAATTGTGAATATATTACTGTATTTCCCAAATGGGCAAACTTCCTATGTGTCCGACTCTGGCAATAAACTCAGCAACTACGTGTGGTATTTCGAAGGACTCTGTTTCTCAGGTGTCATGGTAAGTGTGACTTTGGAGACTTGGGGGATTGTTAAAAAAGAATTGCTTGTATGAGTTAAAACAATGAGTCGTGGAAAACTCTTTCTACTCGTCTTGGGTTTGGAATTTGGAAAATGAATGGGGCAGATGGGTATTAGGACTTGGGGCATAGCTTTATTTTTCATAAACTGCTCAGCAATGCAGCTTCAGTGGGACACTGGCCTGTAAAAATATTGTCCTCACGAATCCCGTGTATCAATTTAATCAATTTGATCTCCGGTGGTAGTACTCTTTGCCAGAATAGATTTTCTGGCTGCATTCATCATTTTTCTAGCCTGCAGTGCGACAGGATAGCAGGGAAACGGCAGACACTTGCACTGCAGACAAACCTACATTGGAACTGAGCTCTGTCACCTGCCTTAGCAAGTTACCCAGTATCTTTGAGCCTCAGTACCCTCATTTGAAGAATATGATTAATAACATGTACCGTTCAGGATTGAAATCACAAATGCAGTGTGCCCAGGAGAGATACTGACACGGAGTAGGTCACCTGTGACTATTATGACTGTAAATACTTGTTAAAGACTGAACCGTATCATCATTAAATAGTGCTACTTTATACTCCTAATAATGGAGGGTGTTTTTCAAAACTCAATCAAATGATCAATGGTAAGAATTCATGACTGTTTTCCCGATGACTTGGTGTTCTTTAAAAATAAACACACTGACAATAAATCATGTTGGCCACTTAGAGGAAAGACATTTTTCCTGTTCATATCATTTCTGAAAGTAATACGTTGAGTACTGTAAACTTACTAGACCACCAATAATGTAATAATGTGATAGAAAATTAATTTATCACCCATCTCTACATCTTTGTGGGTGTTTGAGCTAGTGTTTTTTTTTTTTAATAAAAACCTTTATTTATTTATTTATTTTTAATTTGGTCAGAGAGGGACAGAGTGAGAGAGAGAGAAAGAGAGAGGGAAAGTGGGAAAGCAAGCCATCAGGTCCAGGACTTGAACTGTAGTCAGCCACATGGGAGTCCAGCGTTCTTAACCACCATGGCACCTGCCAGCCCCATTGATCTAATGTTTGAATAGCTATGTTGGGAAGTAGTTTTCGATGGTAATTGTCTTGCCTATTAAATTAGAAAACAAAAACATTAATTCTTGATGCTGTTGAAGTTGCTGCGGAATAGATACGTGACTATTAATGTCGATGGCACTGTAAATAAATGCAGATCTTTTGGCCAAGAGTCTGGTATGATGTAGTAAGATCCACAAATGCATCAGTGTTCTTTGACTCAGTAATCCTAAATCTCATCATTCATTCTGAGGAAATAATTCAAAATAAGAAAAGTGATGTTTGGGGAAGCATTATTTATAAGGGCAAATAACCAGAAGCACCCTAACCAAGAAGTGACCAAATAAATTTTGTTTCCTTCACACAGTGATAAAATGTGTAATTATGAAGATGCATATTACTTCAGGTTAAGTCAACAAAAATGGCTACATTACTGTTGTAAGCAAGTAAACATATGTTTGTGAGAAAACAATGAAAATAAGTGAAAAAATAGGAAGAATTATGGAAAATTTCCTATATTTTCAAGTCCTCTGTATTGTAGTCGTACTTTACAACAACAACAAAAAGGCAATTTCTGTCTCAACAGTAGAGACCTGAGAATGGGACTCCAGGGTCTAGGTCTAATTATCTCTGCCAACATTGTAATGAAATTGATTATCTTAGTTCAGCTGTATCTCACCATTGTTTCCTTCAACATGGAATTTAATAAATTGAGGAGTTGTGAGCCAATAGGTGGCATAGTGGTTAAAGTGCTGGACTCCCACATGGCTGACAGTAGTTTGAGTCCTGGACTCGGCAGCTTGAGAATCATGTGGGGTGTGTGTGCGTGCGTGCCCAAAATCCCAAGAGGAGAATGGAAGAGAAGGGATTGCGGTGTGGCCATCCCCCAAGGGGTTAAATCAGGATCTATTAAGATTTGTGATAATGAACAGTGTTGAAAGGAGGAGAATAGAGGACTCATTTGCTAATTTGAAAGACTTCAGTCTGTAAAATAAAATGGAATTAAAGTGCAAGTTTTTCTGGTGCAATACAAATTTGAAATCTATGCATAATTTTCTCATAATGTACATTGTCTGCAAACTTCTTAAAGACTCTTCGTATTCCATGTGAATTTTAAAAGTGGGAAAATAACCCATTCTCAATATTTCATTTTCTAGGAATTGTTGAAATACATTATTGTGACTGTATCAAGTTCCTTTAGGAGAAACGAGAGTAAATACAGAAATAGTTGGATAGCAGAGAGATAAACGAAAGCAGAAGGCATTTGGAAACCAAAAACGTTGGCCACAAACAATAATATAACAGTGATGTCATTTTTAGGGATCAGTGTGGACCAGTGAGAGTAAAGAAAGAATGAAGAATTTCCCTTGAGCGATTCATGCTCCATATCTGCCCTGACATAAAAGTAAAGAAATCCTTGTTCTTTCCAGAGTTCAAGCCTTTTACCTAACTTGCCAAGAAAAGGAAATGGGATGTATTGAGTTGTCCCTCCTTGGTGCCTTGACACAGACAAAACATATTGGAAAATTTGAACCGGAGATAATAGCTTGAATGCCTGAGGAAATTGAATCTAGTTTAAAGAGACGTCCTTTCAGATTAACCGTGCCTCTCACCTCCTTTCCCAGAGGGTAGAGAATGGAGAGAGGCTGGCAAGCTGCAAACTCTGGTGGATGATTGCGTCCACCATGACTGACCCAGCGAGAAGAGCAAGTGTTACTGCCCATGTATTCTCACGCCCATTCTGTCCATGGTGGTATTCTCGTGTCCATTCTGTTTACTTCCTCTAAGCCATTAGCCTTTGATAGCTAACCATGATGACAATACCTGACTTTTACCAGTCACCTACTAGGAATCAAGAGCTATGCTCAGACTTTTATGTATTACCTCACAGGAACGGAATGAAGTGAGTTCTCAGCACCGTTCTGTAGGGGCTACTCCTCGAGTTCACATAGCTAGCACGTGGCAGCCCTGGGATCTGCACCCGTGTTCATCTGACCCCAGAGCCAATTTGGAATCGCTGTCCTTGCCTTGTGAGTGTGGATATAAACACGGTTCTGTTTCTACTTTCTCTCTTCCCTCCTGTAGATGCTCATAGTGGCAGCAGTTCTCCTTGTATTGGAGAGTGACACCTATCGGTGGTGCAAACGTGAAAACTGCAGCAAGAGATACATGGTAAGAGGGGCAGATGTCTGAGGATGAGTGAGTGGGCTCCGGCTTTCTTTTCTCTCACTCCAAAAAAACATGAAAATATTGACACGATTGTACTCTCTTGCTGATCCTATCAGTTCAGAGCCCAAGTGTTTACTTCAAAAATTATTATCTATTTTGCATATGATCTTTTCTCCACCTTTGTTCTCTGGATACTCTTTCAGAAATTTAGAATTTAAAGGTAACATGAAATTAGAAAATAATGCTACATTTTTCCTGAGTTTTTTGTTTTTGCATTTTTGATCACCAGAGAGTGTGTGTGAGATCTCCAGAGAGAGGGAGAAAGAGGCAGAGAAAGTGCCTCTAATGGGGCACGGTCACACTGTAGTCTTTTTTCTTCCATTCTTCCTTCTCATCAGGATATTGGGCATTAGGGCACATGTGCTCTGTGTGTTTTTTTCAAGTCACCAGGACTGGGATTCAAACCCTCCGTCAGCCATACGGATCCAGGTCCGCCTGCACAGTCTTTAATCACTGTGCTATAGGGCCAGCTCTCCCAAAGGAGTTTGACTGCTTTTTTAAATTCTGCCATAGGTCACATGCCCTCACCAGAGAGAGACGAAGAGGGAAAGTGAGAAAGACAGTCCATGAGGAATGGTCATGCTGTAATCCCTTCTCCTCCATTTCTTCCCCCTTTCAGGATTTTGCATATACTCAGGCACCCAGAGTGTTTTTCAAGCCGCCAGGTCTGGGACTTGAACTTCATGGTCAGTCATGTGGAATCCAGTCATCTTAATAATCACGCCATGAGCTGGTTCCTGACCAGGCTTTGCTTGTTGTTTCTTGTTTTTGTTTTTGTTTTATGCCATAAGGCACATGTGCTTGCCAGAGAGAGAAAGAGACATAGAGAGGGAAGTGGGAAATCCCCCCCCCCCCCAGGGGAATGACCATGCTGCAATCCTTTCTCCTACATTCTCCTCCCAGGATTTTTGCATTTGGCATGATTTTTTTTTTCCTTTAAGAGGTTTTTGCTGTAGGGTATGTGCACTAGCTGAAGAGAGATAAGGAGACAGAGGCAGTGAGAAGGAAAGTGAGAAATTATGCCCCAGGAGGGATGGCCACTCTGTAATCCCTTCTCATCCATTCTTCTCTCAGGATCTTGGGCACACACATACACAGACATACGATGAGAGTGATTTTCAAGCCACTGGGTCCAGGACTCGAACCACGGTCAGCTCTGTAATGTAATGGCTATGCCATCTGCTGGCTCCAGCCCTGGCATGATTTTCAAGCCGCTGGGCCCAGGATTCAAATTGTGGTCAACCACCACACCATCTGCTGGCCTCTGACTGAGGATTTTTGTTTTTTTGTTTTTTGGGTTTTTTTTTTTTCCTTTTTCTTTTTTAAAAATTTTTGGAGAGGTTTTTTGCTCTAGGGTGTGGTGTACTCTCCAGAAAGACAGAGAGAGACAGAGAGACAGAAAGCAAGAAATCACACACACACACACACACACACACACTCACACTCACCCCAGAGGGGATGGCCATGCCACAATCCCTTCTCTTTCATTTTCCCCTCAGGATCTTGGGCATGCACGTGTACGCACCTGGTGTGAGTTTAAGCCACAAGGTTCGGGACTCGAACCGCAGTTGACTACATGGGAGTCCAGCGACATAGCCATTATGCCAACTGCTGGTCCCCTGACCGAGTTTTTATGAGTCTATTTTTCTTACCAACTTAACTGACAACTAATTTACGTACAATAAAGGAAGCCTACTGGCAAAAGCCTAAAACAAAGTTGTTTCTGAATTACCTAGTCTACGTGTTCTTTTAAATAGTGGCAGAATGAATTAAGGCACTATCCATTCTTCTGCAGTCCTTCTGCCAAAATAATTGTTCCTGAAAAGCAAATAGTGGCCAAATTCGTGCACATGAAATAATAGCTAATATATTTATTATACTTTAATTTTTGAAATAGTCCTGTTATGTAGGTGTTATCTTCTATGCCATCTATAGTTCACAGAAAATGCAACTGTGACTGAGAGATTTTCATCCCCATTTTATTGGGAGGCTTAACTCGATTGTGCAATGGCACGAGTTCATTAGGTTGCAAATTGTGTTTGTGTGCGTACGTGCATATGGTTGCCAATTTCCCGATATGAAGAAATCTTCACTAATCTTCTCAGTGAACTAGTTAAGGGTACATTTGGTGAGCAAGTATCAATACCTTTTTTGAAATATCCTTCTTCCTTTTCCAAAGTTGGTATTGAGGAATATGCAAATTTCCTACCATTTAAAAAAGGTAGCTCGGTTGATCTCATTCCATGAGTAAACATCATCAAAATCAATATGAGAAATATAATTTCCAAAGCAAAGTAGCCATCTGTGAAGAGGCCAATGAAGTAATTCCAATAAGATAAAACAGAAGTATTATATTTGATTTTCAAAAATGTAGATGTACTAATATGATATTTAGTGAAAATGTTTTAAACCAGACATGTAATTGAGATAATCTCTATTTCTAAAACCACGGCATTGCTGTTCTTGCTTTTTATTTATCATCAACTAGCTGCAGTGCCTTACTCTTGGGCTGTTTTACTCTCACCTTAAAATCAACATTTTAAAAACTAAATTAATTTTTCTCCCAAAGCAAACTATCCTCTTTGGCATTCTTGTTTCTGTCTCCCTTGCACCCAAGTTTTAACTCTGATTTTTTTTTTGAAGGGTTTTGCCATAGAACACAATGTATACCACATTAACCAAACATTCTGGCCAAAATGTTTGAGTCCAACTGTGAAGAAACAGAAAAGCCCAGAAGGTGGGACATTGGACAAGTCAACTGGCTGGGATTTTTAAAAAATAAAATTTAATATCATGAAACTCAAAAAGACATAGAGAACTAGTGTAGATTAAAGGAAACTAAAGAGATGTACACTTGCACATAAACCTTCATTGCATCCCATACAAAAATATAAAAAACAGTTACAAAATAATAGACTACTCTAGGGACCAGCAGATGGCATATGGTTAGGTCACTGTACTCCCATGTGGTTGACCGTAGTTTGAGTCCTGGATCTGGCGGCTTAAAACTCATGCCAGGTTCATGCGTGTGTGTACCCAAAACCCCAAGAGAAGGGACCAGCAATTAGCGTAATGGCTATGTCGCTGGTCTCCCTTGTAGTCGACTGTGGTTCGAGTCCTGGACCTGGTGGCTTAAAACTCATGCCGGGCATGTGTGTGTACATGCCCAAGATCCTGAGAGGAGAATGGAGGAGAAGGGATTGTGGCATGGCCATAGCCCCTGGGGAGTGATTTCTCATTTTCTGTTTCTCTGTCTGTCTGTCTGGCGAGCGCACACACCCTATGGCAAAAAACCTCTCCAAAAAACAAAATCAAAACAAAACAAAAAACCCAAGAGAAGAAATAGCTAGATTAGGGGGTGATCTCTCACTTTCTGTCTCTCTGTCTCTCTCTGTGTCTCTGGAGAGTACATACTACCTATAACAAAAAATTCCTCTCTAAAAAAAGAAAAAAAAGAATATTTTTATACATTTAGGGGTAAAATATCATGTTTGCCATCTACTTTCAAATGGTTCAGCAATCAAAATGTGTAAATAAATGTATGTGTGTATATTTGTATATACACACACAGTAATGCAAAGAGAGCACAAATACAATAAAATATTCACAACAGGCATGGCTAGCTAAAGGGTGTATAAGGGTTCATTGTGCTATACTTTTAACTTATTTTGGAGATTTAATACTTTTTTTAATAGAAGGTGAGTGGTTGGGTGGGTGGAGGCCTTTGCCCTGAGGGTAAAGTCCAGACTCTTTGATTTGGCATACTAGGCATCTCTAGCCCAGATCTACCAAGCTCACTTTGTGAGCCACTCAGGGCCAAATTGTGTTCTGTCGTTCTTGTTTCCCTAGCATTAGGAACAAGCAAGCTGATCTTCACAAGCTTCTACCCTCACCACTCTGAATGAATCCCCTCTTAGACCCAAACAACCTGCCTGCCATCTCACTCTGCCTGTGCCCATCTGCCCGTGAATAGCACTCATCTCTCTACTCAAATATAAACATCCTCCTCCCCAGCAATCCCATCCTCATTTGAATATGAATACCTAGATGAATATCTGCTATTAATGAATACCTGCTATTTCCCTTTATATTTCCTTACATTCTTCTTACAGTTCCTCATATATATATGCATATATATATATATATCTATATATATATATATGTGTGTGTGTGTGTGTGTGTGTATGGGTCATAACTATTATTTCTTAGAGAGCTTGCCCTACCTAGGTCTATCTAGGACCTAGTAGGTCTTTGATAAATAATTATGTGTTGATTGATTAAATCTCTTCATTGTATGTCTATACAAGGTGGTCATTATTTTTATATCAAAATTCCAGAAAAGGGGAAGTAAATCATCCAGTTCCCTCAATATGTGACCAAACAGAAAGTCACTTAAAAACTAATTTTTTAAATCAAATTGGTTTGGATTAAAATATTCTATTTTTCTGCGGGTCTTTTGTATTATGTAGACCGAGGTAGGCTTGGATGAGTAGGGAAGGTAACTGATTGATGATTTACTCATGCTATCTCCTTGTCTCCATGGCACTAACCTGTTTCATTTAGGCCCTGCTATCGACGATCTTTTCTGCCCTGGGAATTGCTTTCTCTGGATACTGCCTGGTCATGTCTGCCTTGAGCCTTGTCCAGGGCCCATACTGCCACACCCTCAATGGTTGGGAGTATGCCTTTGAAGACACTGCAGGACGGTAAGCAAAAATTTTCCAAACAAGAAGATCAAAAAATTGAGAATACCGGGAACCAGCAGTTAGCGTAATGGCTATGTCACTGGACTCCCACGTAGTCGACCGCGGTTCGTGTCCTGGATTCGGTGGCTTAAAACTCACGCCGGGCACGTGTGCGTGCGTGCCCAAGATCCCGAGAGGAGAATGGAGGAGAAGGGATTGCAGTGTGACCATCCCCCCTGGGGGGTGATTTCTCGCTTTCTGTCTCTATGTCTCTCTCTGTCTGTCTGGCGAGCGCACGTGCCCTACAGTGAAAATCTCTCCAAAAAAAAAAAAAAATTGAGAATACCTGGCCTCATGCTCATTTTCCATGATCTGTATGGGGTTCCGTGGTGCAGAACTTCCTTATTAGTTTGCTAATATCTAGACTGGTTAGTTCCCCCACAGATCTTTGCTTATATGTTTTTTTTTTCTTATACACACACACATACACACACACACAGGCACACACACCTATCTATATATACATATCTATGTGTGTGTGTGTATGTATATATATTTATTTATATATAAATTTGTTACAGGGCATATACACTCAAAGGGGAGAGAGAAAGTGAGAGAGAGAGAGAGAGACAAAGCACCCTCTGGAGGGATGGACATGACACAATCCCTTCTCCTCCATTCTCCCCTCAGGATTTTGAGTTTGCATATAACATGCGCTTGGTGTGTTTTTCAAACTGCTGAGTCCAAGACTTGAACTGCACAGTCAGCCAAGTGGGATCCAGTTGCCCGAACCACCACCCCACTGACTTGCTCCTAAAAAACATATTTTAATGCTATCTGCATTCAATATTTTGAAGCTGTCATGGAGGGATACAAATGAAAGTCATCTTTCTCTGATACTTTAGAACAAGGCTTCATGGTTATCACTGTCTGGTAAAAGTTGGGGCTAAGGGTTTGAGTGGTTCCAGGAACCCCATCCTGTTTTGGGGCCAGATTGGACATGTAGTCTGTTATAAGTGTCAAAGGGCTTGGGTTGGGAGAGAATCATAGGTGGTGCCAATAACTTAGGTGGGCTATAAAAACTGGGCCACATATAGGTAGAACCAGACAGGGTGAGCAGGGAAGTGCAGTCTAATATCCAGGGACGTGACTACGTGCAAGAGCTTTCGGAAGGAGCCAAGAACTGACCTCGTAGGTACTGAAGAATAGTCTAGAGAGTGGGCCTTGCTCAGAAGGCTGATAGCCGAGTTTGGTTTAGTCCCAATCCGGGACCTCAGAATATCTCACACCAGACTTATGCTGGCCTTTCTGGGTTACCAGCACCTGCTAAAGCAGCTCAGGAGAGAGCAGGGCCCAGAGAGAGATGCAGGAGAGGCCTATGCAATCTCTCCTTGTCTCGTCCTGTGCTCAAAATTCTAATGGAATAAAATGAGAGCATGTCTGTACCATTCCCTGGAGAATTTACGTTCTTCTTAAACTCAGTATAATTGACTATATTTTTCAAGGTTTATGTCCATAAGGGGATTTCAAAATTTTCATGAAAAAGTGAAATTAAAGCATAGGGTTTTTTTGTTTTTGTTGTTTTTGTTTTTGAGAGGTTTTTGCTATAAGGTGCATGCACTCAGCAGAAAGACAGAGAGAGACAGAGAGACAGAAAGCGAGAAATCACCCCCCAGGGGAATGGCCATGTCGCCATCCCTTCTCCTCCATTCTCCTCTCAGGATCTTGGGCAGGCACGCACACCCACCTGGTATGAGTTTAAGCCACTGGGTCTGGGACTTGAACTGTGGTCGACTACATGGGAGTCTAGTGACATAGCCATTATGCCAACTGCTGGTCCCATAGTTATTATTATTATTTTTTAAATAGCACTTCCCATGAACTTTGAAGATCCCCTCCCACACACACTCCCCAATATCCAAGGTCTTAGATGCACACCAAGGCCTTCGTTGCAGAGCTGCTTCTCTGTCTGTAGCTGCCTTCTGTCTGAAGTTTCCACAAGGTGCCATATGCTGTTCCTCAGTTCAGGAGAACCTTGGCAGCGACCTCAGGAGTGGTTAGAGGAGACTCTCCTGTGGGACTGAAGGGTTTCAAGAAAGAGGACCCTAATGTCAAATGGGTACAAAAGGCTCCTTTTTTTATTGCTTCTAAGCGTTTTCAACTCCTAAACATTTTCTTACCCCAAAACCAGAAGAGCCTCCCCTTCTGATGTAAGAATCTCAGACTGCCCCAGTTCCTCTCTGTGACTACTGGCTGCCCTCGGTGTTTTCACCTGTTTCCATCTGTATACAAATCGTTTGAAGGCTATGTAGGGAGGCTGTCCCTAGTTTCCTAGAGCCATTTTCAGGGCTTGGTCAATGCAGGGTGGCTTAGGTATTAATATCGTGGCTGTGCATATGGGTTATTGATTTGTGTACTTATTCAGCAAATATTTATCGAACACCTACTGTGTGCAGGTTTCAGCCTAGGTGCTAGACAATCAGATAAATTACACAGGCTCCCTTTCCTCCAGGAAGCCAGACACAACCTGAAAGAACACTCCACTGAGCTGGAAGCCTCAAGGAAAACTCTGTGTTTGGAACACAGATCTCTAATATAAATATACAGATTTGGATTCAAATTCCCTTATTTCTACTTATAAAGCTGTATGACCTTAGACACATAAGCTGGATATCTTGAGTCTCTGTCAATTGAAGATAATAATCACTTCTACCTAACAGAATTGAGAATTCTGTTAAATCGAATTAATAAATTCTTCTCAACTTGATTCCGTTAGATGTAATGCACACATGAACTATAATGATTCTCACGACATGCCATGTTTTCTTTTTTGATTTTAAAATGTTTTATTTGTTTTTATATGACACAAGTATATCTTTTAACTCCATTACACCAACATTTATCTGAGAGAGCTTCCAACTCACTGTGTTGTTAAGTTCAGCCTTGGCTGGGCCGGAGTCTTTGGCTGAACCTGAGTTGTATACAAGGTATGGAATATTATGTGAGACCAAGGAGTTTGAAAGGTTCCCTGAGGCTATTGAATATTTGATACACTTATTTCACTCAATTTCCTCAATTCTTTTTCTGTGTCCAACCGTATTTTCAGCCATGTCTATTATAATTCTTGTCCCTTATGAGATTATTGTTTTCTTTTCCAAATTTTAGAAATATATTGAATCTAATAACACCACAGGTATTCATCTATCACCATGATTACTGCGATGACTGTCATTGGTTTAGTAGTGAAATATTTTATCTCACTCCGTCCTCCAGAATCTTCTCTTTTGTTTTTCTTGTTTTTAAATTTTATTTAAAAAATTTTCATTTAATCACTGCGCATTTTTACAGCGTGCAGCATGGTTTTTCCCAGCCTGAATACAGTGAGTATTAGTCAAGTCAAAGACATTGCCATATACATTATCATCAGCAGATAACTTTTCATTTTAGTGTCTAATAAATGTGTTGTTTATTTTTTCCTTGATCCCCTCCCTCCCACATCTGATGACCCACCCTCTATTATAACCCTCACCGTCTCTAGTATCTACAGTTGTCCCCCTGCTATAATACCTTCCAATCTTTCAGTTTCTGCAACAGAGCATAGAAATTTGGTATATATTGAGTGGGGACACACAATGCCTGACTCTCATAGTCTGGCTTGCTTCACTTAAATTAAATCTTCCACATTCGTCCACTTTCTATCAAATGTCAGGGTTTCATTTTTTTTTATGACTGAGTAGTATTCCATAGTGTACATGTTGCACATCTTTTTAATCCAGTAATCTGTTCTTGTACATTTGGGCTGATTCCATGTCTTAGTAATTGTGGATAATGTTGCAATAAGCAAGGATGTGCAAGCATTTTCCTGATTGAGTGTATTCCTATCCTGGATAAATTCCTAAGGGTGGAACTACTGGGCTATGGTGGTTCTGTCTGCAGGTTTCTGAATAACCTCCCTATTGTTCTTCAAGGTGGTTTTACTGATCTACATTCCCACCAAGAGTGTAGGGGGCTTCTCTTTTCACCATAGTCTTGTCAACATTTACCTTTTTTTTTTTTTTTTTTTGAGAGGTTTTCGCTATAGGGCGTGTGTGCTCACCAGACGGACAGAGAGAGACATAGAGACAGAAAGCGAGAAATCACCCTCCTGGGGGGATGGTCACGCCGCAATCCCTTCTCCTCCATTCTCCTCTTGGGATCTTGGGCACGCACGCACACGCGCCCAGCGTGAGATTTAAGCCACCGGGTCCAGGACGCGAAGCGCGGTCGACCATGTGGGAGTCCAGTGACATAACCATTACGCTAACTGCTGGTTCCCAACACTTACCATTTTTAATTTTTAAAATTTTAGCCTTTCTGACTGGGGTTAAGTGGTATGTCATTGTGGTTTGCATTCTTCTTATGCTAAGAGATGTTGAGCATGTTTTTATACACTTGTTGGTCATTCGTATGTCTTCCTTGGAGAGTTGTCTGTTCAGCTCATTTTCCCATCTTTTAAATGGGTTATTTATTTATTTTTTTTACAGGTAAGCAGCTTGAGTTTCCTGTATATTCTGGTTATTAGTCCCTTAATCTGAGGCATAGTTTGCAAATCTATTCTTCCACTCTGAAGGTTGTCTCCTCACTCTAATTATTGTTTCTTGTGCTATGCAGAAGCTTTTTAGCCTAATGTAATCCCGCTTGTCTAATTTGGTGACTATGGTCTGTGCTTTAGGTGGGTCTTTTTAAAGAAGTCTTTGCCTAATACAGTGTCTCTGAGTTTCCCCTGTGTTTTCCCCCAGCAATTTTATAGTTTGAGGTTTTATGTTAAGATCTTTGACCCATTTTGAGTGTATTTTTTGGTGAGAGATATGAGTTTATTAATGGTGAGAGATAAGGGTCCAGTTTAATTCTCCAGGTGGATATCCAGTTTTTCTAGTTAAAAAAGTTTTTTTTTTTTTTTTTTTTTTTTTAAAGAGGTTTTTGCTAAAGGGCGCCTGCGCTCACCAGAAAGACAGAGAGAGACAGAGAGACAGAAAGCGAGA